AAAAAAAAAAATTCCAATCCTTCTGGTTCCATGGGAAGAAAACTAAAAGCACTGACTAGAAGTTAGGCAGGTGGAGAATCGGATTTTATATCACCATTAGGAAGTACCAGAAAAACTTTAGCACTGCAAAAATGTCCCTTGAGATTAAGCTACCCAAGAAAAGACCTTCTCCTGGATGCTGAGGAAAGGGTTCCTGAGAGAGATAAAAGTCTAGCAAAAGTGACCCTGACAATCCCAAAGAAAAACAGGCAATCTTTATTATTAGATAGAAGTAGCAGAATAACACACACATGAAAATGACCATATCACACACTATACCTTGCCAATGTTTCATACATTGTTCGTGCAACTTCCTTATATGCGTGAAAATCATATGGAACAGCTTGAAGATTAGGACAGAGCTGTTTAGCATACCCAAAAAACATTCCATTCTTAATGCCAACTTGTCTAGAGAGAGAACAAAACACAATGGAGCTTATACTAGGAAATTTTAAACTCAAAATCAAATATTGAACATGTTGATATCTCCCCCATGCCACTATTATACAACTTCCATTAACTCCATTCTCACTAGGGGTTAAAAACAGATATTAAGAAAACTTACAGGTTTGTTTGCCCCCCAAAGGAAAATTACACAATTGTCTGATTAGTGTAATGACGTGTAGATGTGCCACATATGTTATTAAAAGACCAGGTTTGGCTCCTGTCTGTATCTGAAGATTTCTCCTAAGACTCAGACCTCTGGCCCCTTTGCAGAGATGCCAGCATGCCATATGCTGGTGATATCACAACCACCACAGAGCAGGAATATGCTGTCCAAAAGAGGTTTTCTTCCCCTAATACATGGCACAGTTTGGCCAGGTTTCATCCCCCAAAGACAAAGAATATAAACAAAAGAACTACACAAAACGGTGCTATGTGACAAACAGACAAAATGTACTCATCCTATTACCACCCAATTCCCAATTGACCAATTCCATGCTCCTGAAGTGGCTCCACAGTGGTTGAGATGCCAACAGCATTGTATATGGTAGGACATCACTCTGGGCAGGAGCCAGGGTTCCAGAACTTTGAGGAACCTAATTGAAAATGGTAAATTTTAAATCTACTGCATGTCTCAATGCCCCACATTATCTTTGATATTTGGGGCATTCAGCAAAAAACTATACTTAGGGAATTATATATAATTAATAAAATTCCATTTTATCACTCTGTAAAGAATCAAGAAAATATAGTAAAAACACAGACAAAATAATAAAGCACTGTTTCACCAGATTATATAATATTATTACATAATATGACAATAGTTATTCTATACATTCATTAATAAATATTACTAAATTCTTACTTAGTACGGAGGTGTGCCCTGTTTTAAGAAACGTAGGTATAATAGTCTTCAATTACTCAGAGGCCTCTGGCACCCCTCCCAACATTCAGACCACCATTGACAGCCAAGAAGGAAGAGTCCTCCAAGTTACTCAGGGGTAAAGGTAAAATCACATGCATTTTTTATGTACACAAAAACAGTAATAAATTGCCTCATTGCCAAGTCCCTAGTCGATGAAAAATATCTAACAGGAAGGAAAAAAAATAGTAAAGTAAGTGATGACTGACAAACAGAATGGTAAAAACAAGACAAAACAATTCTTTTATTCATTCAACAAATACTTATATCTCAGGCATTTTGTCAGGTGGTGGGCATAAGATGGTAAACAAAACAGACCTCGTGATGTTCATGAGAATGACCCTGTGTCATT